CTCGCCGCAGCGCAAGCCCCGGGTTTCCCGAGATACCTTTGAAGAGATACTCTGAGGCAACTTTAGCTCGCGAGCTAAAGTTATTTGCTCGTCCGAGCTCCCAAGCAGACAAGTCATCCCGAGGACCAACCCTACTAAGGGTGGTTTTGGAGTGTCCCCAGCTCGCTGCAAGATAGTTCCCGAATGAGCCGCATGAGCGCTCCTCAGGAAGCTTCTGACTGACAAACCGTACTGGTCAGACTGCGCCATATCCCTTACTGACGATGCAGTTCCAGTCCTTTCGACAGTCTACATCCATGTCTCTCAGCAAGCAAAAGGCGTGCCTTCCACTTTGGAGACGTGTCATTCACCCGGGCGAGACGTACGCCACAACGGCCACCTGCACAGCCCTGGCAGGTAACGGCTGTGGCAAGAGCCCAGTGGCGGTTATACCCAACCCGACGTGAATGTCCCTATAAAAGCCCTCAGGGCAGAAGAGAGACTTYTTGAGACCTCTAATCTCTCGAGTATAGTGAGAACGCGCTATCTGCACTCTTAGCCTTCGTCTCCTTTTTGCTTCTCTTATAGAGTACTAACTTAAACATCGGAGTATCCTCACCGGGTAAACTCCCCGGGGATTCCTCTTCTTCTTCACCTCAGGTACCTTCCAGGAGCCACGTGAGTGCTAACTAGGAGTGACTGGATCACGCTACATCAATTGCCATAGTCTGTTTGGTTCAAACATGAATCAAAGTGGGAATTAGAATTAGTTGGAATGGGATTTCTTTCCCAAGGGAGGGGGTATGGCCATTCCCTCAAATGGGGGAATGCCATTCCACGAGGAATGGGAATGGGATTTTGATTCCACCTAACCAAACAATTCCAGACCCCTGTTCTCATGAACCAAACGGGCCCTATGTATTGTCACATCATATACAAAGTGTCATTTCAAATAAAAAAACATGTGTATGCCAAACATCAAATTTGAAGTTTTAAGTAAAAATATCAATCTACATTGATCAAACTCAAAACATTTTCAAACCATTTAAAGTAAAAAAAAAATCTCTCTTTCACAAATTTGTATTATAACCCAAAATATAATGACAATACAATGCCACTGTTCCAAACACCTCCTAACTAATTATATTTAGGGAAAATTCCATATTAGTACCCTAAACTTTGGGAGTAGTTTCAAGTTAGTATCCGAAAAACTTTAAAACACTGTCAATTTAGTCCCTACCATTAACCAACTGTTAATTGACATATAAAAGGACATAAATGTCTTTTGTCTATCATATAATTTTCTTTATCTACCACACCCATATAAACCTCACCATACCATTCAAAACACTTATATTCGTTAGGGCACTCCGCAAAATGCCCTTTACTCCCCACAATTATAACAACTACCACCACAACCAAAAATTTGTAAGCAACCATGAGATAACAACCATTGCAGCGATTACTTTCTGCTCTTGTTTTCAATCATCGTGACGAATGTGAGAATTTATTTGGCCAAAATGCCCTGAGTTCTATGATTGCTTAGATGAATTTAGACCACAACATGCTATTCTACAATCTCTACACTACACTACTYTACCTCTGACTGTGACTGTGAAAGAACATCACGATGGAGATATAGTGAAATGAATATGAACCCACTTAAGTTGGGATTAGAACTTGTTAAGTATAATAAAAGAACCAAATGGGTCTATGTGGACAAGAAAGAAATTGAAGCTATCACCTTTGTGCCGTTAGTCTTGTCGTTGCCTTTCTCACCGAAATGCAACACATCGAACACTGCACCATGGTTACCATTGAATCCTTTTCTCGGTGGTACTGTAGTTCTCTTTTGGTCCTTTGTACTCTTATCCAGGTTTTGGTGAAGGCGGTGGGGACTTCGTCGACTTGGACCCACGGCCGCCGCTGATGCCTTGGTGGTGGTTGCCTCTGTGAGTCTTTCATTTCTTCTTGGACAAAGAGGTTGAGGTGATACCTCTGCTCTACCTCCAGTGCTTTCCTCTTTTGCCTCGCTACTGACATTTTTATGGAAAAGGAAAGGGCATCTTTGGCTTTCTTGATGGAGGAATAAATAGTGTTGCCTAGAAGGGACGAGGAATCAAAAGTATAAAAGGCTCCGATTGCTTCATTGCTTTTTGCTTCCCCCTCCTTAAACCTTTTCTATATCATCTCTAATCCTTATCAGATTTCAATTTTCCATCTCTGTTTTTATATTGATGTATAGTGTGTTAGTTGATAGAGGGATTAGGGTTTTACATCAAGCTATCAAGTACCATTTCACCTGTGGGTTTCTCTGAAACTAATTAGAATGTGACCATAGGAAGCATATAAATGTGGTTGGGCCCTCGTAGTATTCCAGTTACAAGGACTGGTACAAACCCACCCAAACACATTCTAAAATTAGAACTTCAAACTTTCGAGTCTCAAGACATTAACCCTAAATAAATCCCTACAAATTGAATATGTCTTCAGTTTGAAACCAATAACTTACTACAAATAGTGCATTGTAAATCTGACCATCTTTCCTTTCGTCCCCCCTCTCTCTCATACCATCAATTTTCTCCTAGAGCTTCTAACTAAGTCGGTCACCCGCATTTGTAGCTTGGTGGAGTCATGCAGCTGTCCATAGCAATTCTTCATGAAAGATGTTTTTATTAAGGATAATTTTAACATTTTTAAAACTTTCAAGTACATATCATCACGTGATACAAATAATTGACGGACTATTAATGGAGGACCAATTTAATAGTTTTTGAAAATTAGGATATTGTAGTGATATATTTTGAAATTCGAATGCTAATTTGTAATTAACCCTACTAACATGGAATTTTCCCTCTCATTGTTTACCAAAAATAAAAAGGTTTTCCCTCGTTCTTTTTTATGAGGCTAACCCAGCCAAACACAATTACAAATCGGGATGTGTCCGGTTTGAGATTGAATACCCTTACACCAGGTTTAAGCTTGGGTTGACCTCAACCCAACCCAACATTGACTGAGTTATAACCTAACCGACACGTGACCTGAGTTATATCTAATTTTGGTGTTGGTTTACTGGTTTAGAAGACCTGAAGGCATGCGACATGTAAATGTTCTAATTTTGAGTTAGTCAGATAGTCGTACCAGATGTCTGGTTGAGTTAGGTGGTGTTTGGCATCGGTAACATTTTCTAAGAAAACTGTGCCACATAGGCACTATGTCAAAGAAAATGGTGCTTGGAACAACAGATGGGCAGATGGTTGTTTGGTTTCTTTTTTCTAAAAAATGGGGACAAAACAACCACACCTTGGAAATCGAGAAGACGTGGTCGGAAGCAATGATAGAATTGACGTTTCCCCAAATTACTTATCATTGCTGCCAACAGTAACATGATGTGGCGATTACGTGGCATCCAATATAGCACAACTTTGAATTTATATGGTGCATCTCAATGCACCACAAATTTTGTTTTCACCCGTTAAACAAACCCTAACACAGTTTGTCTTCTTCCCACTGCTATTGCTCTCTTAGTCGGCAGCAGACGTCAAACTCATTGCCAAAGGTCAAACTTTTTGTCGTTTTTAGCCACTGGAGGTCAGATTGCTATGTTCAGACCATTTGTCTTCTCTTTAGAATCGCCGAAGTTAGGTTGTTGTTATTGCTCTCCTAGTCAGCAATAGACGTTGAACTCATCGTCGGAGGTTGGACTTGTTGTTTTCAGCCGTTAGAGGTTAGACTGCTATGCTTAGACCATTTTGTCTTCTCTTTGGAACCGCCAAGGTCGGGCTGTTGTGTTTAGACCATTTGTCGTTCTCAGCCGCCAGAGGCCAAACTTCTTCCCACTGCTATTTTTCAACTGCTGAAGTTTTTGTTATGGTTATTTTTGTATCATCAATTAACGTTGCTCATGGCCATTGTTAGAGGAGTAGGATAGCATATACCCAAGAGAAGCACTAGATAATGGGTGCAAGTGCAGAAAACAAATTTGAAGCATTGAATTCCTTTTATGGAAAAACATCCTACTGCGAGCACCGTTTCCAAACAAAAAAAGCACCATTTTCTAAGCATGTGAGAAAATGGTGCCATGCTCCTAGCAACAATGCCAAACACCTACTTAGGGGGTGTTCTATAGTGTGGATGAGAAATTGGTGCACCACACCACAATTCACAGCTGTTTTGAACTATGGACAAACTATGTGGATTGGACCAGTCCACACCCACAATATTGTTCTGTACCACACTTTTTGATTCCATGTATCTCATATACATTTTATGAATGATCTACACAGTCGATCATAAATGTCTAATTTTTGCAATTTATATGATAAATATATTGAAAAAAGGCATTGATAAATTAACATTAATCAATAAATATTAATTTTAATAAAAATGATAGTAAAATAATTAAAGAATAAAAAATAATTTAAATATTTAAAWTTATTATTTTATTGATAAAAAATTTAAAATAATAATATTTAAATAAATCTAAAAAAGAGTGAAAAAGGAGCACCATCGGACTTGTGCTAGAATTAACATTAAAAATATTAATTTATTGATAAAATATAAAAAATTAAAATTAAATCATTATCATTTTAAAATTTAAAAATCAAAAAGAAAGAAAAGTATGTAAAAGAGATGTACTGTATCAAAATACAATGTGGAAATGTTATGGATCAGTCACATCCATGAGATATATAAGTGTGACCCATATTTTGAGTCGTGGACGGGGATGGTCCACGATATATTGTAGACCAATCCCTCCCATCCATAACCAATAGAACGGTGAATTCACCCCGTGGCATGGACCGAAATGGTTCATCCACGAGATGAACACACTACCGAACGCCACCTTAGTATAGTCGAGCCGGATGTCTGGATTGCCAGGTCCGTGGTCCAGTTGGCAAATCGGGTCAATGTCCGATCTGAGTCTGACAACGCTGATACTGAGTTGAGACTAGGCCGTCAGAAGACTCAAGCTCGGAAGCAGTAATTTTAATTTTAATTACTTTACAAATTACAGATATGTCAGTCAGTTGAAGCCAAAGAGTAGTGGGGAGAGGGACCTTCCGAGTTCCGACCTTGCTCGCTGTTTTGCCAGCAATTTGATCCGAAGAGGCTAAGAACATTAAAAAACAAAGAGATCATAGGAAAACTACTTTTGATGATGTTTGTATCGGAGTCTCTCTAATGAATTCTTCTACTGCATCGGTCTCTCCTTCTCCCTCTACTTCGTGGTTCTCTAACCTTGTTCGCAGCCGCTCTGGTAACCCTGGAAACCCTAACATGTCCAACAACTCAAATGCAGCCGATGGAAGTGGTTCTTTGAAGCGGAAGAATAATCAGTTACGAGGCGTTCTATTTAAGTACGGGCCCAAACCCGTACAGGTCTGCTCATGATTGCTCCTCTCTTTTTCTTTCTTCTTTTTTCCGCTTCGGAGTTCGGACAATTGGTTTCCAAGTTCGCGTTATGTTAATTTGTGGAGTGTGATTTTGATATTTAGATGCTCTAAACAATGCTATTTTTCTAACCATGACGATGATAGAATGCTTGCTCATGGGATGACTAAAATAATAGATTTGGTCATTCAATATGGAGAACTCAGAGGGAGGATTATAGTTTGTTCTTTGCTCGACCAAGAACTATTTTTCCCTCACGTGGTTCATGGGTTATTGGGTTTCGTTATTTGAATTAGAATTACTTGATCAGCTGGTTCAAGGCTGCAAACTAAACTCGATTGCATTGATTGATATGGTAGAAAACTGGAAATTGCATTGTATTAAAATAATTCCATCAGTTTGGTGTGAGATTTTAGAAGATCGTTATTAAGGTTGTGATCCCAATAGTGGCATATTCGTATGTGTTCAGTATGAAAATAAAAAGCCTTCAAATGATCAATTTTACAAGACTTAAATACCTTTAATTTATTAATTACTTTTAGTTTTTAAGAGCATTATAGGGATGCAAAGGGATCGGATCATATTCGAATCAGGGTATATCCTAGTCCAATTCGACACTGTTCATGCCGGATCTGATTTGGTCGGATCTGATAGGCCTTGATTTGAATTCAAATCATATTGGTAATTCGGATCATTGGATCTGATCCAATCTGACTTGTTTTCTTTAACAATTAATAAATTATTAAAAGAAAAATAAAATATACCAATTTAAATAAAGTAAAAACAAAAGTACAAGTAATTTTTAATTATTTTCGTCATATATATACACGTTTTTATAAAAAAATAATATAACAAATTTATAAAAATACAATATAAATAATATATTTATAAATAAATAAATAACACACACATATATATATATATGCATTATATATTTGTATTTATAAATATATAACATATATCGGATTGGATATTCTCGGATCGGATAGGGGGGATCCGAATCTGATCCGATCCGATTTCTGATTGGATCCTATTATCTGATCCGAAGACCCAAACAAGGGTGATTCGAATTCGACCAAATAGGATTGGATCTCAGATCGGGTCAAATCGTGATCCTATCCATTTGCACCCCTAAGAGCCTTAAGCCTTGGGACCCTAGGATCTGTTTGTTTCTATTTTTCTTTTTCCGTTGGATTCTATCATTGGACAACATAAAGTTGTGGTTGCTTCCTAATGGTAGTGAATTCCATGGCTTTTAAAACCAACCCGGAGACCGAACCGGTCTGGGGTCCGGTTACCAGGTCGAACGGTCGGCCCGTTCTGACAAAAAAAAGGAGGTCAAAACTGTTCGAACAGTTAACCGCCCGTGTCAGCGGTTTTCTGACCAAAGACAACGGTTTTTGGAGAAAATCTGGTTTTGGGGAAAAACGGAAACCGGTCACCTGACCAGTTCCCGGTTTTTCCGGTCTGACTGTCCGGTCCAGTCCGGTTTTGAAAACCATGGTGAATTCTGTTAAATATATTATGGGTTGTGGAGAAAATTTTATTTTCATTTCAGTTTGGGGGGGGGGTGAGCATGAGCAAGGTGTATTTGTTAATGCCTTAATTTCAAGTAGTTGGAGGAGTTTGTAGAATTGTTTGCTAAAGCAGTTACCATTTACCAAATATCATTGATTAGTCTTTGTTAGGTTGTTCAGCATCCAACCTCATCCATCACTTATTTCTAAAGGAAAAACATATTGGTCCTTGCAAGCAGGTTATGGAGTCATAGATATGAGTTTGTAATTAATGTTTTTCTTTGTTGAACAGGTTGCATTCAAAACGGGTGACTTCAAACAGCAAGTCATTTTTATTGGTGGATTAACTGATGGTTTTCTAGCAACTGAGTATGTTTTTGCGATTTTTTTTTTATAGTTAGCATATTCCATGTACTTGGTCTCCCCCTTTTGTTCTATTATCATCATTTTGTACATTGAACTAACTAGTGGTTTTCTAGCAACTGAGTTTGCATTTGCAATTGTTTTTGGATAGTTTCTATATTCCATGTACTGGGACTCCCCCTTTCCTTCCATTATCATCATTTTGTACATTGAACTAACTGGTGGTTTTCTAGCAACTGAGTATGTTTTTGCATAGTCAATATCCTAATATGTAGAAAAAGGAATGCCCGGGAATCCCAACTAATATGGTAGTCCTCCCAACCTCAATTGATGAAAAGAGAAGAAATATAAAGAAAGATAATCTAGTTAAATAGTTGCCTCTATGATATGGCTGCATGCTTTTGCCTTAAATATAAAAACCTTGCATTTAGGTACTTCTCTTCCAAATAATGGTTATTCTTTTTTTGACTATTATAAATGCCTTATGTGCACCAATATGTTGAAAGACTGTTCCAATTAAATTCATGTTGCCTCCAGAATGCTTAAAGCACATGGGGCAAGGAAAACAAAATAATTGAAGCAAGAAAACCAATGTTGTTGGTAGGCCTGTCCACAATATAAAATACCCCTATGAACTTTACTTTCCGTTCAGTCATAATCAAGTTTGCTGGCTGAACTAAGAGCCTATGTGAACAGTTGTTCATTCTAGAGGCCAGCAATTCAACCTCTCTAATTGGATGCAACAGCATCCATGGGGCCCCATTAGAAATCTTTAATCACTCAATACCAATTTGGAGATCATTTGTATCTCTCCAGACCTAATGAATTTCTAAGAATGAATCTCTGAAAACAGTAAGGTATTAGAAAAAGTAAGTTTACTAAATATTCTAGGGATCCTTGTGGGTTCCACATAAGTTCGAACACCAGTTCAGTGGGTTTGGGGTTTCTAGAATGGGGTTCCTTACTTTTGTGCATAGTATGGAGACCTCTCAATCTGGAAGGTGCAAAGTTGAAGTTGTTCAGATCTTTACGGCTTCAAGGTCAAACTAATAATCAATTCATTATTTTGTAAATTTAAAACTGGTGATTTGCTAATTGTGTGTTTGATGTGTGAAAGGTTTCTAGGGACATGCTGGAAGGTCTATTCTAGAAAATTTCTCTCTTAAGGTGACAAAGAGGATAGTTTTGAATGCCTATTATTATTAATTGGTGATACCAGCCAGGTCATGTGGAAATTGAACATGCCGTGGCCATCATGTGGGCAGAGATACTGAAGTGCAAGCCTCTCAAGTTTTTTTTTTTTTTTGATAAATGAATAATGATTTTATTACTTAAGGAAGGAAGTATACATTCACCCTAAGAGGAGGCACAAGATGTTACCTCCCCTTAGAGATGAGAACATAACCACACTCTTAACAGGATACAATCATAAGGTAGCCCAAAATAATCCAGCCCTTGAGACCCCTTGTTTAGCCAAAGAATCAGCCATAGCATTTTTCGATCTGCTAACCCACTGAAAACTGACTGACATGTTCCTTGTGAGCCACTTAACTTTCTTGAGAAGATCCTTGTATCCCCAAAATACTGTATCTGGATTCAACAACCAGCCCACTACTACCTTAGAGTCTCCCTCGACTATCAAATCTTCCACTCCTAGTTGGTTGGCAACCTGTATTCCTTTTTCCGCAGCCAGTATCTCAGCCCTTGTAGAACCGCTAGATCCCATTGGACCTGAAACTAGGGATAGGATGTTGCTGTCCTTATCTCTTAAGATCCCTCCTATCCCTGAAGGTCCTGGGTTACCTTGACTACTCCCATCAAAATTCARCTTTACCACACCCTCTTTAGGAGGTTTCCAAACTGCTTTTAATCTATTCTTTTTGGAGGTTGTGGAAGCCACCTCTATCCAACTTTTCCAAAGATCATCAAAGGAGTAATCCCTAAACAAATCTGAAGTTTTCAGCCTGTCCTTGTCAAAATACATACCTTTACTTTTTTTATTCTTCTTTCATTTTCTTGGAATATTCTAGCATTCATTTCCTCCCAAATAGTCTACAAAGTGGATGCTCTGATGCACTTCCACATTAGTTTCCCTCTCTTAGTTGACCACCCAAAAGTAGATGGATCAAAAAGCAGAATTACTTCAGAGGGCAAGTTCCACCTATACCCAAATAACATTTTTTTTTGGAAAAGGTAAAGTAATTTTATTCAGCTCAAAAACATATAAGCTGTTACACTTTCCACCAGAAATCAGAGCAATAAAAAGAAATGGGCTTACCAGCCTATTTTATGGGGATATTCTGGCGAACTATGATTGATTCCGACGATGGTTTCTTCCCTGAATCTTCATTGAGCAACCTTTGAGATCCGACTGGGGATATTCCGCTGGCTTCTTTTACCAGGTAGTGGAGGAAATTTTGTTGGTATTGATGCTTTGTAAAGCCCATTCTAAGAAGTCTCCTGGAGGGATGAGGAGATGGGAAGTGAATAACTGGTATTGAAGAGAAGGGGAGGATGTGAGGGCGAGAGTTAATTTTTCATACAGCAAAGCAGTGTCTACAGGTGCATGGCCTGGATTTGGCTCTTCGGAGTTGAAAAAATTGGAAGATAGAGTGATAGTAGTGACAGAGTCCCAAGTCCCAACCAGTTGAAGAGAGAAGGAGCTTCYTGTGTAACTGCCTGGTGGGAAGATTTAGATGGGGAATGGGAGTTAATGAGGTGGAAACTTGGGCGTGCAGATTATGGAAGGAGGTGGGGGGAGTAAGGGTGAAGAAAATGGCTGACGATTTATTCCTTTTCATATGTTCCTCGAGAGCTGATGCAGAGTGGATATTACAAAATGGTCCATGGCGGATGGGGAATAATTTTCTCCTGTTTGACTGGTGGGGTGCAAGTGCGGGATGTATCTACCTGGAGCCTGACTCRGTTTTGGATTATCAAGAATTGATTTGGGTAAGGGTATTTGGCCTTCCCCTCCTGCTTTGGTGTCCAAGTGTTATCAGAGCTATAGGAGATGTGTGTGGGGGTTTCATTGAGGCTGATGATTCTCCTTCAGAGGTAGTAACGTGTGAATGGGTGAGAATGAAGGTGCGCAGGGGAGACTCTATTCCGAACAAAGTGGAGATCGCTGTGGGAGAAGCTCTGTTTTCAGTTCAAATATGGCCTGAGATTCTACCGTCTGTGAGCCGATGGAAACGGGAGGATTGGGGAGGAGAGAAGTCCCACAGAGAAAGAGAATGGGAATCGGAGATTTCAAGAACCCTTGTTCTGGAGGATGTTGGAGAAAACCTGTAGCATCAAACGAACCAGAATGTTTGTCTTCCAGAATTCCAGTCACCGACGACTTCTCCGGCTGTTGGTGAAGATGGGGAAGGAGAAAGAGTTAGCTCTAATCCTAGCCATCTGATCTTGGAGGACTTGGAGGGCCAGGATGGGCGGAGTAGGAAGAAGAGTGAAGGAGACGGTCCTTATTCTTGCCTTGAGACAAATGGGTGGAGCTTGGGACTTGATGAATTAAAGGAGCTAATAAAGCAGTGCATAGTGGTGATGCACGTGGCTCCCATGGAGCAAAGTGCGCTGGAAAGTCAAAAGACATTAAGACAGTCCCAAGGTATTGAGCAGTGCTTGGGCCAACAAGAGTTAATGAATTCTCAGACGCAGAACATGGACCGTCTAAATCCGGATAGGGGTACACCGCAGGCCTTAAACAGTGGGGGTGGGCCCAGAGCAAATAGTGAGCCCAGGCCCCTCTTCCATAGGGATGACCCGTGTCACCTGAACCAAAACAAACCTGGTTGATTCAGTTAGCCTCCAAAGAGGACCGAGTTCAATTGGGACAACCAGGGTCGTGAGTAGGCACCCTTGCTGGTGGAGCTGAATGGTGGTGCCGATGTGTGAATCGTCCAGGGTCAACCCCCCTAGTTCTCAATGAAAGGATGTTTCAAATTTCTTGGAGGGAAGTCGCCTAGATCGCTTTCAACTTGCACTGGCGAGGGTGGAAAACTCGGTTGAAGCCGATCCAATTGCAATGGTGGATTCCAACGAGCAGTTCGAAGAAAGGAGGGAGAAGCCTTATCAACTTTCTCCACAGGAGGGGGGTGGGGAAGTGATTTCGATTCAAGGAAAGTGGATGGTAGTCCAGCGCAGTTGGGTAATATCAAAGAAAAGAATCCTGAATTACTGTTCCAGGGAGGTATGTTGTCCAATCTTCCTAGTTCCTCTACTTGGGTTTCGTCGAAGCTCTTGGGATTAGGGAAATTTTTAGRAGTTTCAATGGAGGGGATGGAGGAGGAAACAATTAAATATCTGGAGGGGATTGAATAGCGAGTTATCTTAGAGAGAGGGAATCTGACAACAAAGAAAGGAAGTAAGAATTCGAAGAGGAGTAGAGAGATGATGAGGTTGACCAGGGGGTTAAATGATAAGGCCGGTAGTGGGGGGGGAGTAATTTGGGGGGTGGTTTGTTTTTTTTGTTCTCATCATGGATTTAAAATTTCTGTCTTGGAATGTAAGAGGGCTGGGGTCGGGAAGGAGGAGAGTTGTGGTGTGTGCTTCTCTGAAGAGGTCAGGTTCGAAGGTTATCATGCTGCAAGAAACTAAATTGGATTATGTAGATGCTGCAATAGCAAGAAGTATTTGGGGGGAGGGAGAGGTCAGATGGAAAGCTAAATTGGCTGTGGGAAGTGCCGGGGGGTTGTTGAGTCTTTGGGATCCTTCTATCTGCAGTTTAATTTCTGCTCATGTTGGGGGATTCTCAGTCTTATTAATTTTGAAACTTCTTGATGGTAATATTTGTCAAGTCACAAATGTCTACGGTCTGACAGAGGGAAATCTTCGGGAGGATTTTTGGAAAGAATTGGTTGAAGTGAGGGGTAATCTATCTTATCCATGGGTCATTGGTGGAGACTTCAATGTCATTCTAGCTGCTGCAGAAAAAAAAACCAATGGTAGGAGGTCAAGAGGGATGCTTCAATTTGCTGATTTCATCAATAGATTTGAGCTGATTG